TAAAAGGGCTTCTTGTAACCGATTTAATGTTAAAGGAGCAGGAACACGACTTCGTATCCTTCGCCCAAGCATGTTCGATTGGGTTTACGTCTGGGCACAATGCTGGCCATCCATTACAAGAATGATTACTTCATTTAAAAACTGTTGAGTAATTCTTGCACTGTGAGGCTTGGCACTATCATGCATCAGAACAAAGTAATTTACAACAAAGCCAGCATAAGGCACAACAAAATTGGCGAATTTCATCAATGTGCATGAAGCTGTTATGAAGACTCTCGGAACAATGTACTATTCTGTACGTGTCTCTAAAGTTATACTCTATAAAGTTTTGGTAAAAGGAAATACATACACTTTTCTCCAGACTTTTGTTTGCCTTATCCCATCTTGACATTATTTGAGTGGTAGTTATTCATTAATATAACTTCTTTTGCATCCCAGTTAGTAAATATTACAATATCTTCATTAAAAAAAACACAGATTCGGCTCTCTATAGTTTGTTACAATGCTTAGTAACATCTTCCTATTTTTATTGCAAGTTCCGAGAGCAGCAAATGTTATATCTTTGAAAAAGTTGACAGAGGTAAAATATGTGTCAAAAATAATACTACATTGGATACTTATATTGTTTAAACACTTGAATGCAACTATTTCACCTACCGTTCCAACTTGCTTGGCGGATTCAAATCCAGTATACAAATTAATATCATATTATTAAAAGAATCACAATGGACCCATATTTTGATTCTACATTTGACAGATTTCATCGGCAAGTATTGCTTTAAAAACGTTTTAACTTTGAAACTATTCATATTTTCATCATCAATAGACTGGCAACAACTATCTTCCCTATATTTTGATTTGATCTCTAAAAACGAAACGAACAAGCTGAATTTTGCTGAGGATGTTAATTTTTGGAACCTAAAAAAGATGCACTTTTTGTGTAGAATGAACCGTTCTTTCAGAAACAATGCTTGAAGTGACAGGCTTATTTGGATACCAATTACGCGCGTGAAATAATTTTATTAAATTAGATTTGTATCAACTCGACGGTAAAAATTTGATATGATTTGATCAGAGTGTCGTTTGATCAGTATGAGGCATTTGAAATATGCCTAAAAACAACGAATTTAAACTTTCACCTTACAAACGATTTCAAATCACGGCAAATGCTTCCACGAAGACGGAATTGGGTGAAATTTGTAGCTGAAGCTGTGTAGCTCTTTTTTTGGCCAAATCTCATATTTGAAATTTGATTTTACATGAAGATTTGGCTGTAACAATGGAAATTTTATAGTGATTAGTCAATGAAAGTAAGAAATTGCATTGATCTCACGAGAATCATAAAAAATGGCAAAAATCGCACAACATTTATTTATTTAACACCTTTATAAAAACTGACTTCATTTGCGGTAAAATACAAAAAATTGTATACGAAAGCTGCACTCTTCACCTTTAAAGTGCATTTTTATTTTTGTCGATAGGGCCCTTTGATCAAAAGATATCGAATTTTTACCGTCAAGTTGATACAAATTATATTTAAAAAATTGATTTCGCGCGCGTAACTGGCATTCAAAATCGCTGACCGCTTCAAGCGTTGTTTCTGGGAGAATGGTTAATTATAACTGACAATTTTGTTCAAAATTATCTCGGCTATATTTCTTATTTGCAACATATTTTTACGATGCACACATTCTTGGTAAGTCGATTTTCCGTTTTTACCCCCTTACGAGGGGAGGTTTAGGGGGAAGCCCCAGGGTAGGAGTGGCGAACTATTTTGCATCTTTTTTGGGGACCCAACATTGGAATTCTCAGCAAAATTCAGCTAGTTTGTATAATTTATAGAGGTTCAGTGGCATTTTCGTCTTTGAAGACTGGAGTATTATATTTATAGTTTCCAAATATGAAATGTAAATCTGTTTTGTGACCTACTATTTTTTTAAAAAATGATTGAGAAAATATGCTTAACTTGACCAGTAATGTTTCACTTTTTGCAGTTTATTGAAGCATATTACAAAACAAACTTGAATTTAGAACCAGATTTTTTCCAACATTCATCTATTCTTTAACTTTTTTTCTTGTTCAAAGATTTTAGTTCTTTTATTGGTGATTTACTAGTTAATAAACTAATATAGTTAATAAAGGGAAAATTTGTCCAATACATTTGTAAACCGTGCAATATCTCTCTGATAGATATCAAATTTTGGATTGAAGTTTTCCAGTACCTACTGGCGATCAAATATCTTGGTCTATCTTATTTTTGCATTTTGATTTATTGTTACGATTTGCCTTGAAGACTGTCAGTATATTCCTCATTGTTTTCACATTTTCATAGTCAGATCCTTTATATATTTCTTCCCCATTACAATTATATTCTTTTCCTGAAGAACTAGCTTCAAAATCTGGATCTCTCAAATCATTATTGGATGGATAAACATGATTATGAGCAACAATACATTGGGTTATAGAACAGTTCTTTAGTAGGAATTGTGGCCTTTAGAGAAAAATGTTTGCGGGTGTGGGGTAATACACTTTGGTTGCATTTGTGGTATGTTGATTAAATCATGTAGAACATGATAGTGATTCAAAAAAGGTATTCATGCATCAAATCGAAAATCTTTTCAGGCCAAAATGAAAAGGCTTACATTGAGAAAGTAACGAAAATTATACTGAAATGATGGCATCTCCTGAGGTCAAATATTCCGCAACAGACAGAGCCTCTGTTCAGATTTCAGGTGAGGACTGTTTCACAGGGAACATCAATACAGGTTAGAAAAATTAGAATAGGGTCTTGTAATCTTGAAAGTATTATAAGTGTATGGAGTTGATATATGTGCTTAAAAGAAGGATAGTATAAGTTTCTTGCCTTTAAGAGACAAGGTTGGAAAAAAGGGACAAAAGAACTAGGTGAAGGATACAAATTGTGGTATGTAGGGAAAAGTAACATCAGGAATGGTTTTATTATACTTGCTGATAGAAAAATGAAAGATAACATAATAGAAGTTGTATGAATGAGTTATAGAATAATTTCAGTGAAATTTGTACTTGATGAAGAAGTGTTAAATGTTGTGTGTGTATAGTCCTCAAATTACAGAGTGATATATACAGAGTGATATTAATACATTCTTTCAAAAGAGAGAAAGTTAACTTATAAAGCAATGGTTAAAGTTGGAAAGAAATTGGTTACATTTAGCAAATAGTAGATAAAATTGGGGGAAGCATATGTTCTTGAGTATCTGGCATACTGATGAACACTGATGCCTCACAAAAAAAATGTTAATATCAGCAAGTCTATTGTTATACAGCCAATTCGTGAGCCCAATTCAAATTGACAGTTACTGTATGGTAATCTGGCAATCTGAATCTAAATTTTCTCTTCAACAGACAGAGAAATACTAGACAATAAAATATAGTTATGGTCTGTTTTTTAACCAGGAGGAGTAATTCAAATTTTCCGCGCCGTAATGCTTGTTTGCAATTGGTCGAACCGCAGGCAAGTTTACTCAACTAAATTATGACATCTTGACACTAATGACATTTGTGAAATTTATTTATTATTATAATTTTCCTCTAATATATAAATCGATTTCTGACTCTTTAAGTTGTTTGTAATAACTTGGACTTGGTGATATGCGAATATTATTTAATGTGATATTTTTCTAGATAATATTTATACTAAATATAGTTTAGTGTTTATAAATGTATGTTATTTATATCGAATTATCGTAAGAGAAACAGCAACTATCCTTTAAATTTAGTGTATACTTGTTAAGAAGCATTTCTATTTTGTTTTCATCACAATAAAAGAACATTAGTAAAGTAATGTTGTGTTTTAGTTTGATTGTATTGATACAGTTGATTTTGTTCTTCCTGGTTGTAGATCATCACAAGAAAACTGCAAAATTATGCAATAATGCAACATAATAGATTGCATTTGTTGATTATCTCACAGAAATCCAGTTTTTCTTAGTAAATGTTATTTGTTGATAACAAATGGGACAAACTCACTGTCAAAATTAAACAAGAATCCAGCATTAAAGAAATTGTAAGTACACACTTGTTTATACAAAGTATCTGGTAAGAAAAAAAACTAGATTCAAGAAATTGATCATACCAGAATAAGAACATGGTCTACTATTAAAAGACAAATTTCTGAGAAAACCATACTTAGATCTGTAACATTATTGACTCTCCCGATCAAAATATTCTCTAAATTATAATTAAATACCATAGACTCAAGAGATCTATAAAACTGGATCACCCGATATTCAAATATATATACATGGGACCAAATGTGAAAAAAGTCCTTTTTTTTATTGTAATATATATTGGAAGTGAATTGAAAAAAATTATTTTATTATTCAAACATAAATAAAATTAGGTTAAAATTGACGTGTTAGGTTGTCCGATATATATTACTCGATTACCGCAAGGCCGAGATAATCAACAAAAAAAAGAAGATGTATTTGGTAACTTTTCTAGTAACTTTCTTGGGTGTGAATCTGTCTTTTTGGTTTACTCCTCCTGGTTAAAAAACAGAGTATAGATAAATTTAGTGTGTGGTTGAGCATTAGGGTCTAAATTTAGTTGAAATGGAGATTTATCAACAATGTAGGTTATATGAACCCTAAAAACTATGTATAATGAAAGACAGAAACAAGGATGAGACAAGCTAAAAAGTAGAGTAATTCATTGACAAAAATATCTGCTGTAATACATATCTTGGTACAGTGAAATGTAACTACTCCTTATCGGAATTTCAAAAAGGCGCCTATTAATTTATTATTGTTGTATTGTAATGTATTGATGTAGTAATTAACAAAACTTAGGGAGTTTTTTCTTCGTGTTTTTACATTATTTAAATAGTTATCCATTTAGGAACTAAACAAAAAAGGTAATAAACTTATAATACACTCGTGTAATAGTATAGTAAATAGTACTAAACTTAAAAAGTATTACTTTATATTATAAATAAATAATATAAAAGGTAAATTTGTACTTACGGGCATTCGCTCGAATTCGCCTCCAATGGGGAAATTCATAATAGATCTAACAGTTTGCGCTCCATAATACTTGTCCACCGGCACTTTCAGCTCTCCAAAGGTGTCTTGTTCAACTCTGTAGTCAGCCTGAAAATCTTGAACTCTTACATTTTTGTACTTACAGTGGGCACAGTGTTTACATTTACAATCATGTGCTTTATGCATATTAAAATATTCCTAACAATATTTTAATACTGTAATTTACTGTCAAAAATAGTAGAATGATTGTCAAATTTGATTTGACTAAATACATTTCAAATTTTATAGACTATTTGCCGATGACATAACACCTACCATATTTGCTATTTGAGGGGTGAAAGATTCTCTGTAATTTCTGAACACGGTTGTAATTCTCGCTCCCAAGCGACGGCTGGGACTGTATAGTCTCGATAAAGCCATGATTATTTTCTTTTATTTACGCGATTCTAGCTTCACCCCTGACCCTTTCTCCTCCCGAAGAAAAGCAGCAGTTACGTTCAAAACACTACACACAAGGACACCTAGTGGCCGTAGAAACTTACCAAATTTGACAGTACCTGTCACAAAATTATCGGGAGAAAAAATTTTACCAACTGCAAATTTCATAAAAGGCGTTGAATTGTAGGCAACTAACATTACGACAAACACTATAGAAATAGCGAATTGAAATATCGTTATTGGAAATCAGCATATAAAAAACGATATAAGCGGAGGAATAAATAGTTAGAAAAAATGGTTATTTTATTCTATTAACAGAACTATAATGTCAAAAACTAGCATCGCGATGATTAAAGAGAATTTAGTCACTCATTCAGCACAACTAGATTCAGGGTGCCCAAGATAGAATGCATTGGAATAGTTTACGGGAGGCCTATGTCCAGCAGTGGACTCAAAACTGATGATGATGATAAGTCACTCTGTTGAGGCATTATTGATATTTTGTCGGGAATCTTTTAATTACTAGTTAAAAGTACACAATACCAGAAGAAGAAGTAGTGGTTTCAGTTGTTCGATATTTTTATCTAGGACTAGCACTTTCATTGCCATATATTTCTCTATGACCTGGAACTCATACTAGTGTAACCATGGACATATAAATAAACGTCCATCAGTGTAACGCTGTTATATTCTGCCGGTCTGTCGAATTCATGTTGGCATTCCCACACTAGTCTAGAATCTACCTTAGGGCTTATCAGAGCCCTCATTTGTGCTTGGCTAGCTGTGCATATATTGATGCGTTTCAGTTCGAAAGTCTCTGCTTGAAATACAACCGCAAGCATCTTAGTAGGAATTGGAAACATAGAGACATATCTTTTTTGAATAGGTATTGCAATTTCTGTGTCATTTCTCCCAAAAATCTAATTTTCTTCGAGAACGTCTATGAATTCCTATTAAATAAAGTAATTCATCCAAACATAACCTTGATTTCTTGTTGGCTGATCTGTTTTACTATACGAGGAGCATACTTTCAAATCGCACTTTGTCCATATTTTCACATTCTGAGTTCGAGGTAGCGATGGATTAGATATTTTATTGATGGATTAGATAAATATTTCAAAAATCACCTAGAAAAACCAAACGCATTTTGTCCAGTAGCGAGTGACAAAAATAGCGCTATTTTGCTTGCAATGCATTTTTACCATGTAACTAGTTTATTTTGTTATCAGACATTGTAAGAATCAACAGTATATGATATTATTAGTGCTTAATAAGTTGTTTTTGATTACAAAAATAATATGAAAATGAGTGGAGATGAGTATATTGTGGGTGATAATACAAGGTACACCTTGTGGCTTTTGAATAATACCCCAAAAACTATTAAAACAATTACCATGATGTTTTCCATTGGAGGCTATTCGTTTATGCCAGCTGATTGTTTTTTTGGTCAAGTTTAACTAGACTTATATGTCAATGCTTTTATAAAGTCACCAGATAAATATTATAAAATCCATTCTAAAAAAGGATAAGTACGCAAGTTGGGCTCTGATTGGACTTTGTATGACATAAAAGATGCAGCACTTTCACTCAAAAATGTTGATATCAGTGGAGCCAAAAGAATAATCATAACTCGAGGCAAACAAAGCAAACAAGGCAAAACTTGCTGGGGAAAGTAAAATCTTGTTTAAAACAAAGGTATTGTATTGAAATAACGACTCTTTTAAAATGTTTTCAAGTTTAATTCAACCACAGAAAAACTAAGTAACATAGTACTGCCGGAATTGCCAATGAAGCATGCTGTTAAGAAAAAAAAAAACTGGATAGCTTATCAAAATTTTTAGTTAGTTTATCAGTTAAAGAATGGGCATTAGATCCAGAGTTAACTTGGTTAAATCCAATTTTGAAAGAGCAGTAGGTCGTGAAAATACAATTGAAAAAGACCAGACCTGCGATCAAATGTGAAGATGGAGAAGAATGTTGCTGTCTTCTGGAGGACGACAGACATGTCATGTGATTTTTTTTACTATATTGCATTCCAAACACGCAGAAATGCATTTTCAATTCATATTTTTATTTTAATCATTTAGGGACAATCAAACTACATTTTGTCATTTAGAGAAAACCAAATAACGTTTTGTCCATTAACATTTTTTTTGCAAAAACTAATAAAGCTTGATGAAATTTTTAAATAGGATAATTTGATAATAAACAAGTAGATTTACTCATATTTTGTGTTTTTATTTTAACTTTATTAAACATTGATTAGCAGTTTTTTTCACTTTCACTGAAAAATATTAAAAATGGACAAGTTCGATATGAAAGTCTGCTTCTCATCATCATCATTCAGCCCATACTCGTCCACTTCTGAACATAGGCCTCCCGTAGTTCACCCCACAAATTTCTGTCCTGAGCCGCCTGCATCCAATTTTGATGTGTCCGTTTCAGGTCATCCGTCCATCTTGTTGGTGGTCGTCCTCTATTCCTAAAGGCATCTTGTCTGGGTCTACACTCAAGAATGCGTTTTGTCCATCTACCGTCCTTCGTTCTCGCGACGTGCCCTGCCCAGTTCCATTTTAAGGTTGATATTTTTTTGATTGCGTCTTTTACTCCCGATCTACGGCGCAATTCTGTGTTGGGTATTCGGTCTCTCAGGGTTAATCCCAACATGGACCGTTCCATTGCCCTCTGTGTTGTTCGAATTTTGTTTGCGGACGTCTTAGTAAGTGTTAGCGTCTCCGCACCATAGGTTACAACCGGCAGCACACATTGATCGAAGACTTTTCTCTTCAAGCAGATGGGAAGAGCTAGCTGATTGGAAAACATCTCTTAGCTTTCCATAAGCTGCCCATGTCAACCCTATTCTACGTATTAGTTCATTGGTCTGGTTATCTCTACTTAAGCGAATTTCGTGTCCCAGATATTTGTATGCTGGTGTTTGTTCTATACTTGTTCCAGCTATGTTGATGTTCTCACTCAGAACAAGGTTTGTCATCAAGGTATTTTTGAGTTATTGATCTTTAAACCCACTTGTGTAGAGGCATGGTAGAGTCTTTCGCACATTTCGATGGCATGATCTATGCGGCCTGTTATCAGGACTATATCGTCCGCGAACCTGAGGTGACTAAGTTGCTCTCCATTTATGTTTATGCCCTTTTCGTCTAGGTTTGCACGCTTACACATGTATTCCAATAATGTTGTAAACAGTTTGGTGAAATGGTGTCGCCCTGGCGAACTCCACGATGAATGTTGAACTTGTGTGTATCTTCATGGAGTCTGACGCATGCCGTGGCATTATCATAGATATTTTTGATGACAGTGGTGTAGCGGTGATCTATTCGGCACTCTTTTAAAGCTTCTAGCATTTTCTGGTGGTTTACTGTGTCGAATGCTTTCTCATAATGCACAAATATTAGGACGAGGGGTTTATTGTACTCTATACATTTTTCGATGAGGCTTTTAATAATTTGTAGATGGTCGTTTGTGCCGAAGCCTGACCTGAATCCTGCCTGTTCGCATGATTGGTAAAAGTCCATTTTGTTCGAAAGTCTGTTTGTTATGAATTTTGTAAAAAGCTTGTATATGTGTGAGATGAGGCTGATTGGTCTATAGTTTACGAGATTTGTTAAATCTCCTTTCTTAAACATTAGAATGATCACTGCATTTTGCCATTGTGATGGTGTTGTTCCTCTTTCAAGGCATTCTGTGAAAAGTATGGAAAGCATTTGTATCAGTTTCTCGTCTCCTAATTTTATGGCTTCGGCAACGACCCCGTCGTCGCCAGGCTTCTCATATATAATGGATATTCTTTTAATTCTCATTTACTGAATTGATTTTCTGATTAGTACTATCAGCAATGATTTGGTGATCTATAAATAAATTCCAATAATCAATCACTAATATTGTTGACTTGAACATCTTTAGAATCATAGTGGCAGCCATAGCTCAGCGGCCAAGATACTGGCCTTCAGTAAAAGCACTAGAGTTCGATTCTCAGCACCAATAATTTTCATTTTTATTAATAAAAATGAAGCCGTCACCGATGCTTCGGAGTGAACGTAAAGCCGACGGTTCGCCTGGGCTAGTGTGCAGCGACACTAAAATATATAAAGCGGGGTTAAATAAACAATTGTGGTCGGAACAATCACAAAATAATCTTCCGAGAAAAATTCTATACGATATTATTATATTCAGAAGCATATATGCTTTATCTTTTTCCATTTTCATACTAAAAATAGGTTCATCTTTTTCCCTTTGTATTTCTTTCCACATTATTTGCAGCCTCTCATGTTTTTGTTCATAACTCTACATATTTATAACCCTAATTCAGAATTATAGGCAACAATAATTGAAAAAAAGGCGCCTATACAAGCAAAGATGTTTGTTTACTAAAAAAGGCAGAAATCTTGGGCAAAATGCCCGCACTCCCAGAATTCAATTTTGTTTATGTTCTATGTGATTAAAAAATATGACTTAGCGCAACTTTGTTCTTCCACCATAAGCCCCCCCCCCCCCAGCCCCTGCAACATCAAACGTCTCCAAATATTTTTAAAATTTATTTTTAGGTGAGATGAAATCAATTTAGAAATTTAAAAAAATCACACGCATAGTTGAGGCTTTTACAAAACTTATTACAAAAACATTTTTGATATTAACGTCGATTGAGTGTACATAACATCGACTAATGTAATGCTAAGAAGCAAAAACATCGACAGTCGCGACATTAACATCATATCCAAGTTGTACTGGGGACAAACAGCAAAAATCAAAGTTGATAATGAGTTAACCGAAGAAATTGAGATTTGTCGAGGTGTGCGTCAGGGTTGTGTGCTTTCTCCACTATTATTCAATATATATATTTATATATATATATATATATATATATATATATATATATATATATATATATATATATATATATATAGCGAAACAATATGTCAGGAAGCGCTCCTAGGGCAAAACATTGGTATGAACATTAACGGAGAGTTAATTAACAATATACGATACGCTGATGACACGCTAATAGTAACAGATAACCTAGCAAATTTACAGTTTTTGATGGAAAACATAATCACTCATACCAATAAGTATAGTCTAAAACTGAACATCAAAAAGACTAAATTCATGATTGTAACAAAGAAGCTATACACCAATGTGAATTTAACCATAAATAATCGGCCAGTTGAAAGAGTTACATGCTACAAATATTTAGGGGTTGGCTTGACTGATACTAATGACCAGACAAGAGAAATCAAGAGGCGAATAGAGATAGCGAGACAATCGTTTGTCAAAATGAAAAAGTTCCTATGCAGCCGGGTCATAAATATAAACATAAGAACGAGAATGTTAAGGTGCTATGTTTTCTCCGTTCTGCTGTACGGCATGGAAGCCTGGACACTGAAAAAGATAAACATCAAAAACATTGAGGCATTCGAGATATGATGTTACAGGAGAATGTGGAAAATACCATGGACAGAAAGAGTAACAAATCAAGATGTTCTGCTGAAGATGGGGAACGAATGCAAAGTCATAAAAACCATACAAACGAAAAAACTGGAATATCTGGGCCACAGAATGAGAGGAGAAAAGTACTCTCTGTTTAGACTCATAATCCAAGGAAAAATCGCGGGAAAGAGAAATGTGGGACGTAGGAGGATTTCCTGGTTGCGAAATTTTAGGAAGTGGTATGGGTGTAGTTCAATACAGTTGTTCAGAGCTGCAGCCAACAAAGTAAAGATTGCTGTGATGGTAGCCAACCTCCGATAGGAGACGGTACTGCAAGAACAAGTAGTCCCGGCAGATCCTTACTAAATTATTAAAAAATATTTCATATTGTAATATAAATTTAATATTAGAATTTTATAAATAAATATACTGTTCACGGTATCTTATTTCGGCCCAAGCATTTTCTCTGGCTTAACCCACTCATCGAATTGTTGTTCTGTAAGCATATTCAATTTTACAGCCGTTTTCTTCAACGTAGAATGTTCTTTATGCGCTGTTTTGGCAATCTGGGCAGCTTTATCATATCCAATATGAGGATTCAGCGCCGTTACTAACATAAGACTTTCATGTAGCAATTTATGGATTCTTTCCTTATTGGCGACAATACCGTTGACACAGTTCTTTGTAAAGCATGTGCAACTGTCGCCTAATAATCTTATGGATCGTAGCACGTTTGACACAATCATTGGCTTGAAAACGTTTAGTTCAAAATGTCCGTTGGCACCACCAATAGTGACTGCTACATGGTTTCCGATCACTTGAGCTGCTACCATGGTGATGGCTTCGCATTGAGTGGGGTTAACTTTACCTGGCATGATTGAGCTACCTGGTTCATTTTCTGGAAGCAATAATTCTCCTAGACCACACCTGGGACCAGAACCTAAAAACCTAAAAAATAATGAGAAATGTTAATGATATATTAGATTCATGCATCAAAATTGATGCATGCATTATTCCGATATTAACTTATGCAGCTCAAACATGGACAATGACAAAAAAGAATATGAATATACTTAAGAGTCACTCAACACGCGATGGAAAGAGCAATGCTAGGTATATCACTTAAGGACAAGAAAACAAACACATGGATAAGACAGAAAACCAAAGTTACCGATGTGGTGCAAAAATCATTAAAGTTGAAATGGGAATACGCTGGACATGTAGCTAGGAGCGATCTAAACAAATGTCACAGATCAATTTTAACCTGGAGACCATACCAACACAAAAGGCCCAGAGGCAGGCCTCCTATGAGATGGACAGATGATCTGAAAAGGACTGCCGGGAAAAATTGGCTACAAGTAGCGTACAATAAAAAACAATGGAAAGGAAGACTTGAAGAGGCTTATGTTCAGATGTGGACGTGAATGGCTAGACAAAGAAGAAGATATTAGATTAGTTTATATTGAGTGGTTCAAGTTTTTTCGTAGCTTAAATTAATGAGATCATTTTGACATCAGTTCTTTTATTTTTCATGTTTTGTATATCCTTGACGAAATCGACGGTATTTAACAAGTTTCACAGTTTTACATGTTCAATAAGGTAAATCAGTAAATTATTTTGCAAATTCCACTGGCATTACCTTAGATTAAAAGATGTTTGAGAATAGAATGCTTACTTTTCATAAACTCTCCAAAATGCTAAACAAATCCATACACAGCAACTTTATCGCTACCAGCTACTTCCCCATGGCCACTTAGGCTACTTAAGTAGTGTACAGAATAACAGTCTGATTTTACTCAAAGAAGAAAATAAAGCAAACAAGTATCACGTTACTATCATAAAAGTTAAGATTTCATTACCTGATATCATTCGCGATCTTCATAATAGATACAGCAAGAACGTTTAAGGCTCCAGATACTTCTACCATAGCATCGCGAGCAGCGAGTGCTTCGAATTTATTAGGAGCTGTTGTGAACGGCAAGCCGGTTAGTTCAGATATTTTTGCTGCAGATTTTTCAGCAAATCCTTTGTTGGTGTTTAAACCTGTACCAACGGCGGTGCCACCCAAAGCTAACATCCTTAGTCTAAAATACAAACAATTTATTTTAATTTAAATGAAAATTAATCAAATTTAAAAATATAATTTTGCAGCCTACTCTTTCTATCTTAATAATTATTAGAATCGTAAACAATTTTATTTCCATAACTAGATACTAACCTTGGTAATGTGTCGCAAACTCTATCAATGCCGAAACAAATTTGTTGAGTGTAACCACTAAATTCTTGACCCAGCGTTAATGGTACTGCATCCTGCGTATGAGTTCTACCTATTTTAATAATGTCTTTAAATTCTTTCGATTTTTTCTCCAGACCGTCGTGTAACATCTTAAGGCCTGGCATAAGAGTATGTTCGATTTCCAAGGCCACAGCGATGTGCATGGCAGTGGGAAAAGTGTCGTTACTGCTTTGTCCCTTGTTAACGTGGTCGTTAGGATGGACCGGTGTTTTGGATCCAAGTTTTCCACCAAGTATTTCTATCAAATAAACAAATATAAGTTTTGTTATGTAATAAAAGATTTTCGATATAAAATATAAAATTTATATGTTATTTCGTAAAAATTAGTAATGTAATTTTTGAAAATGAACATAAGATAGGTGAGTGGCAGTTAAGGTAAAGTTTTAATAAAATGAATAATAATCAATGTAAACTTCAAATTCCATTTAGAATGGAGAAACTTTAACGTGTTCTAATCATGGACGTATGTACATGGTTCTAATAATAATCCTGAGTTTAGTATATTTTACCTAAATGTTCAATCAACAAGGAATAACTACTATTTAAATGGGAATAAGCCACAATTAAAGGTTAAAATACGTTTATTGAAACGTTAATAAACGTATTTTAATCTTTAATTATGGCTTATTCCCATTTAAATAGTAATTACTTTAAAATGCCACCAGAAAATAGCTTCAGAACAATAACAAGGAATAACATTCTAAAACTGGAAGGATTGGTAGATAAGTTAAATATGCCAGAAGTAATTGAAGTGACTGGTTGACAGCATGTCAGCAATATTTTAATGTGAATGAATATAAGTATATGTGTGTAGATATAAAAGTCAGAAGTATAGCGATAAAGGACTGTCTTGACTACACTGAAGTCTATAGATATAATATGGAGTGTTTAGTACTATTCTTACAAATTGACAGGAATTTGATAGCGGATGGAGCATAAGGTTTCCATCACAATGATCTTTTGGGTGTAGTGAATATGAAGTTAGATCAAACAAAAATATTGATTAACCAAAGGTTACATGAAGTCAAACAACTAGCCCAGGATAGAGAAGGATGGAGGGAAATCGTAAAAAAACTGTGAAGGCCTGATGGTGTCACCACATTCCAAAAGGGATTAGGACTAAGGAGGGGGAGGAGAGGAATATAAAGTTAAACATGTTTATAAACAAAGCAATATCAATCTGGATATTTGGCGAGTTTAATATAGAGCTGATTACCACAAAAATTGACAAGTTTGACAAGTCAAACAATTACTTATTGACAACTATTATAATACAAATCAGAATTTATTAAGTAGAAAACTTAAAAAAAAATTTTAAGTTAGCATAACAATTTGTTAAATTCTTCTGGCTTAATTCATTGAATCTATTTCGTGGCGTTTTGCAATTATTTTAAATTAAAAGTGTTTACCTATGGCTCTATTGCTTATAACTTCATTACTATTCATATTAGTTTGAGTACCAGAGCCGGTCTGCCAAATAACTAAGGGGAAATGATCACAGTACAGTTTTCCTGAAATTACTTCGTCTGCAGCACAAGCAATCGTATCGGCTATTTTCGGATCCAAACCGTAATCCTTGTTAACCAAAGCCGCTGCCTTCTTTAGAATGCCCATGGCACTGATGACGGGTACTACAAATATATTTTATTTTTTATACATATTCATATATATATATATATATATATAATATATATATATATATATATATATATATATATAAACTAAACTTTAAGACTTTCTGGGTAAAACAGCTGAAAGGATAGGCTAAGTGTACTCTTTAATCCTTTATTAATCTAATATTTCGTCGATAGTCATCGACATCATCAGGGATAAGCTACAAATAGTTTCGACAATCTATTTTAATTAAGTTGATGTTACTTAAGATTTTGAGAATATTGCCGTAAAAGCTGGTCAAAGTTGTAAAAATTTTTGTGAAAAATTGTATAAGTTTTTTTCAGAAAAAGTTTACATTACATGTTTTTTCTTTTCTAACCTAATCAGCTGTGATTAACACTATATATATATATATATATATATATATATATATATATATATATATATATATATATATATATATATATATATATATATATATATATATATATATTAAACCTAAAGCGAAGATTAATACTATTACAAGATTTAATATTAAATCAATAATCAATGCACTGATCTCCGGTAAATACCTAACTGATAGTGACGAATGGGTCACGGCTGATCTACAAAATCAGCCAGTTCTACAAACGAATCCTACCTAATAATCCTAATCTCTGGCAAGATATGGCGTATTATGGGAGTACATTATATAGCAGAAGGGGTGAAAGGCGGGTTTTGGCGCCTTATAATAGGAACACACCAGTAAACCCTTACCAACCCGCACCGAGGCAGTGTGGTAAGCGTGTACCAAAAAATATAGACGCTTATTGTTTGTACGCCTCACAAGCACACCCCCTAACATGAAAGACACATTTAAATCATAGCCCTCATTATGTCGATAATGGTTCCAAATGACCGTGAACTGGTTAACTTTCGGTATTAATCCAGGAGGGCAGAATCTGCAGATTCTAAACCGCTACCCAAATAAAACAACAACACTTTATATAGCGACCATATAACTGCCCCTTGCCATCAAATCAACCGAGACTTGTAGAACTGGAAAAAAGAAACTGAAAATATAAAATGGGACGTCAAGAGCTATTGGAATTAGTGTCAGGAAACAGATGCTATTACCGAGGATCATCAACGAACAGAACAGGTGATATTGGATTCCTAATCAACAAGAAATGGAAGCGAAGAGTAGTAGAAAGTAGTAATAGAAATAACTATAATAGTAGTTAAGATAAACTAGCTAGCTTGACCGTACAACTATCAAAGAGATATAATATACAAATTATACAAATATACGTCCCAACGATTACTCACACTGACGAAAAAATTGAGGAACTTAACAGTAACATAGCATTAAATAACAATAAAAGACACTTTAAATCATTCCAGTCAATTCATCTGGGAATATAAGGAGTTAGGACATATGAAAAGTTTATGCAGAATTACGGAAGCGGCAACAGACTTTAGTGGAAATACTACATTTTATTTTATGCCACATAATCCAGTATTAAACGAAAGTTCTTTGACGACACGGTTGCGCGTTGTGTTTGATTGGAGTGTACCAACTACAAACGGCATTTCATTAAATAGTATTCAAATGGCCGGACCAAATATACGTCCCAACGATTACTCACACTGACGAAAAAATTGAGGAACTTAGCAGTAACATAGCATTAAATAACAATAAAAGACACTTTAAGTCTTTAATTGGTGACTTCAATGCCAAATTGGAAAAGAGAAACAGCAAGAACAAGTAATGGAAAAGTATAGAATCGGTGAAAGAAATGAAAGGGAAGAAGGACTGGTTCAGTTTGCACACTACCAAAATATGTCTATTCCAAATACATTCTTTAAGGAAAAGTCGAATACAAAATGCACTTGGGTAGCACCAAATGAAACTACTAAGAACGAAATTGACTTTCAACAAGATTGCTACAATAAAAAATGTCAGTGTAAGAAATAAATTTCAAACATGCAGCGACCATGGCATATCAGAGCAAAAATTGTTCTAGATATGCTACTTCTTCTTCTTCTTCTTCTAATGGCGCTACAACCCTTTGTGAGTCTTGGCCTGCTTAACAATATTCTTACATTCTGCCCTGTCGGATACTTTGCTTCGCCACTGCCTGATGTTCATGGTTTTAAGATCCCTCTCTACGTCGTCTATCAATCTCTTACGGGGCCTTCCTCTTGTTCTGTTTCTTTGGGGCTTCCATCTCTGGACTACTTTTATAGCTCGATTATCTGGCATTCTTTCTAGGTGACCAAGCCAGTTTTGTGACTTTACAAATCTAACAATATCTGCGCTCTGCATTAGTTCATTCAGCTCGTGATTCATTTTAATTCTCCACGAACCATCGCTGCATTGGGTTGGTCCAAATATCTTCCTTCGTATTTTGTGCTCAAACATTCTCAGTTAATTGTGATCAGTGGTTGAGAGGGTCCACGTTTCACATCCATATGTGACCACTGGTCTAAAATTACTGTTTTGTTAATTCTAAGCTTAGACTCACGATTCAGTAATTTACTTTTCATTAAGTCTTTTCTACATATGCAACTAGAAAGAATAAAATTAATCACAAAACCAACAGTAACCGATATAAATATTAATAATCTAAAAAAACCGCAGATCACTACCAAAGGACAATTGATGAAAGATTACATGACCAAATCGACAGCTCTCAATTAATGGAAATCATCCTTAATAGTGTTAAAGAAATCGGAGGTCCGTAACAACAAAGGAACATAGTAAACTGTGCTAAAATCAAAATAATGCTGAAACAAAGAAGGAAAATGAAAGTAAGTAGCAACATACAGAGAATACAATAGATGCACAGAAGTTTGTAAGACAATAAGGAAAAGTATTGAGGAAGACATAAGAAAATACAATGAAAGACTGGTAGAAAATGCAATCAAAAACAAAAACTATAAGGAAAAAAGAAAAGCATTAATTATTGGGAAGAAGCAAACGTGACTAAATTCTACAGCGAAATATACAAAGACCCTGAAACACTTGAAGAAGCAATCAATAACCAAGAAGATCTACCAGAAATCGTTTTGGAATAGATGGCATAACAGTGGAACTGCTTAAATCTGCCAGCAAAAAATCCTGGAAAACCTTCACAGGCATATTTGCGAACTGGTTACGAATGGTTACCTTTTCCTTTTCATGTTTTGAAGTGATAAAAGGTGGACGAAGAGATTGCTTAAGCGGATGTCGAGGTTAGACAAAAGTAGTAGAGGAAGACCCCCTACTCGTTGAACTGACGATCTCAAGAAAATGTCAAGAAATTGTATGAACTGGTTGATGATCATGATGATGATACGAATGGTTATATTCAAATTGAAGATGTCACTTCACATGAAAGAAAAAGCATTCGATCATTGTATATTACCAATCATAATATACGGCTGCAAAACTTGGACACTAAAGAAAGAGATAATCTTCTTCTTCAAAAGCCATTTCCGCGGCGGAGGTCGGCAATCGTCATAGCTATTCGGACTTTTGAGACGGCTGCTCTAAAAAGTTCATTTCATGTACATCCGTACCACTCTCTCAGGTTGCGCAGCCATGACATTCTACGCCTCCCTATGCTTCTCTTTCCTTGGATCTTTCCCTGCATAATCAGTTGGAGTAACGGTTTATTTCGTTGGAAAAAATTATATTATTTATCTTACTTGCTTTATTTGTTATAATTTTAAGATTTTCATTCATAAAAGTACAATTTTCATAATCTTTAGTTATTTTTTGTAATGTCCCTCTGAAAGGACATTGTGTCTTGGCGAATAAAAATAATACAAAACTTTATTTATGCTGGAAATATTTATTTACATAATAATAATAATAAAACAAACATTTTGAATGAAATTTTGAAACAGTTCCTTCCCTTCATAAGACACAGATGAACTTCACATTTGGTACAAAATATGTAAGTCTTATTTTTGCACCCCTCCAATTTGCATCTAGAATTATCTATTTTTTTCGTCCACATTGGGAATATGATTGTAGCCGTCATATCTCATTTCTACAAAAGGTCTTGTTACACACGTTTTTTTTTGCTTGAACTTACGAACTTTGTCACTTGGCCTTCCTCTCTTAGAAGGATTTTTAAATAGTATTAGACGCTCTGCTACACTCAGAAGATCGATTATCTTGTTTTTGTCGATTCCTAAGAATGCAAGAGCTTGGTGTTTGTATTTTATTCCTGAATTCACTAATGCCAGATCAATTGCGTAGAATATCATCCTAATAGTCCATGAAAAAAACAATAGAAGGAGGTATTTTAGAAACACGGTCTGAAATAAGAATGTACCATTTAATATGTCTTGTTTCATATGTAACATTATTCATCCATTTAATTTTAGATTTTTCAGCGAGGCTGTATGTTTTGTGAAAGTCTTCTATTTCCTGTTTTAGATCATCAACATTTTTTTCTAGTTCAGTTTCATTTTTATTTGGTCCTTCTGAGCACGTTTTGTCTAGTTCTCTATTTTCTACATCATCTGCAACCGGGACTGAAAAAATGTTATAATTGACAGTTATATCTTCTTCATGGTCAGACTCATCGTCAGACAACAACGGAACATCCGAGTCGTCATCATTTTCTAAATAGTACACAAGGGGCTTTTTGTTTTTCCACATTTCCTGAAATAAAAAAGATACCATAACTTGTAACTAATGACTATCTAAGTTAAAAGGTCTAAATCATAAAAGTTACATAAAATTTTTAAAAACTTCATAAAAAGCATAGCACTGATACATTATTTATTTAAGCCCAGAGTTTGTTTGTCCCTGCACAGGGACATAACAAAAATACCCTCTCTATAAACACCACACTATCTTTAAAAGCAAAACTGTTGATAGGTATAGCAAAACTAACTCTTATACTTACCAACTTAACAATTTTATAGTTTTTATTTATCAAAAAACCAGATTTCTACGTAATTATTTATGCACAAGTTTCACAGCACAGCAAATATATCCAAAACAGCTGACTGTCAATCGGAAGTCGTTTGAACTACACCCATATGCGTACGCGGTCTTTTAAATACTTTAGAAAGGTTGTTCGTTGCAAGGTACAATGTGTTTGCAGCGCTCAAAAAACAAAATCGGTTCATTTAATATTATAGAAAAAGTTGTCACTGTGGGGGGACAAATATACTACGTGGGTTCTTTATATATATATATATATATATATATATATATATATATATATATATATATATATATATATATATAAGTGAAACTGAAAGGGTTAATGTTGCATTCAAGGTCCAAGATTCCATTCCATAAAATAAAGTCGAAAAAAGTCGAAAAAACATAGCACTTCGCCAACCTAACTCTTAGTTCCAGTTTTAAATAGCTGGTACATAGCACTCTTCTCATTTTGTTGAAATTTGCTCTAGTCTTTTCTATTCTGATTAAGGCTAGATATTAACTTTTCTGAAAGAGATAATAGCGAAACTCAAAGTCACTCAAAGGTCAATGGAGCGATGTATGCTAGGCATAAAAAATAGAAAAAAGAATAGAAAAAATCAGACAAAAAACTAAGATCACGGATGTAATCCACAGAATTAAATCTTTAAAATGGCAATAGGCGGGACATTTAGCGAGAATAACTGACACTAGATGGTCCACAAGAAACAAGAATTACATTGTGGTATCCAAGAGGTGTCAAGAGAGCAAAAAGACGTCAAAATTTAAGCCGATACAGTATGGCACAGAAAAGCGAATATTAGACAATCGTAGGCAGTAATAAAGAACGAGTAAGTTTATGTTGACGTTTCAACTTCTATTTCAAAAATCGTTATTAAAATACAAATTAAAAAACAGTAACGAAGATCGAGCGCAGATTCTCATTTTCGTATAATTGTCCACTTCATTAGTAAAGTACCTAACGATAACGGTTAGGTATAACTTTACCTTATAATTAAGTATATAAAATCATAATCAGCCAAGGTTCACCTCTTCGAGTATAGTCGACATATACACTTGAGTGCAAAAAAATCGACTCAAAATTATTTTGCGAAAGTACGTCTCCTGTTTCAATCAAAAAATGTGTAAATTTAAAAATAGTTAGTGTACCATTATTGAGTTTGAAAAATGTTTTGATTTTTGGTAAATCGGGTGACGTATTACAAATAAATAATGCAACACGTAGAGAGGGGGTCATAATTTGACCCATTGAAATCGACACGCACCCACTTAACACATTTGGTTAACATCGTAAGCATCAGTTTCCACAGCAACCCACTAATGCATCAGTCAATTAAGTTCGCAACTTCATAACAAATGGATACCACATCCGTCAAAGCAGCTCAAGCAGTAGCATTATTGAGAGAAGACCTGAGCCAGAAAGCCGTGGCAAATCGACTAAATTTAAGCCAATCTGCTGTGTCCCGAGTGTATCGTCGATACCAAGATACTGATGATGTAAAATAATAGGAATGGGAGCGTTATGTGAAGGTAAGGAAACCGCTGTCCCCAAATGTAATACACAGTAGATCCTCAAGGGATGCTAACCCTGCGAGAGGCTGCAAGGAATACTGGTCACACTGGTCTGGAGGGCTGGAGGGCTGGTCTCGTCTTCGTGGATTTACGAGAAGATAAGGGATTTTCGGGATAGGGGTAAGGACTCCTAGGTCTCAGGTCCTGTAAAGAGCAGAGGTTATGGGCTTACTTTTGAAGCCGGAGATATGCATACGCAGAATCTCGTGTTCTCCTAGTCTTTAGTGAGTCGGACGAAAGGAACATTAAAAAAACCAATTTAGAGTCTACAATATATTGAATTTACCCTGAAGTTACAATTACAATCGTTAACACGTTATTCTGCGCGTCGGAAGTCGAGGAGCAAGATAGTGAAAAGTTGACAGTGGTACTAATATAATTACTCAGGTTAGTATATAGAAATCTGTTACCTTATTTGGGCTTTCAACCACGACACGTTCGGTCCTCTGGAACTCGGTCAGTTGAGGGTCTCCTCCTGTGTTGCGAACTTACGAGCTGCCATAATAACCGGACTACACGCGATACTAGGCCGGATGATAAGCGCTTCCCGGAGAATTACCGACTGCTCGTACTGGACGCTATCGCATCCGACGATCACTGCCCTGAGCGGGCAGTTACGGTGCCCCGCTATCACTGACTACTAACTACTGACTGCTCGTTCTTAGTTCGGTTTTTATCAAATGGTCTCCTCGTTGACCGGTTGTAGTCCAAGGTTGCGTTTTCGCTGAATTGTAGGTCCTATATTGCATTACAATAACAGTTTCTGTTTGACGTGCTTTTTCTACGTTTAACAATTATCAAACAATGCAATAACTAGGTCAATTTCTTTGTGTGATTTGAAATGCAAACTTTACTGTAATAATTATCCCTTATTTGATTTGGAATATATAATAATTATCTCGAATAATTATTATCTTTTCTATGCTACTTAGTCCTTTTTTCCAACTTCTCACTCACTTGCTACGCTCACATTACAATGATTATGTCCGCTGACAAGGAGTAGGTCGTAAACGAATAATAACAGAGAGAGATGATCGATTTCTTGTATCTAAATCTCTGAGAAATCGACATTTGACTGTTGCTAATCTCAAAGAAGAGCTTAGAGAGGTCCGAGGTGTAGTTACCAGCATTTGGACAGTCAAAAGGAGACTGAAAGCAGCCAACCTGACACCAAAAAGGCAGCTACTGGTCCCAAGATAACTGCAGCTCAGAAGCAAAGACGACTAGAATTTGCTCGCGAACATCTGGATTGGGACGACTATCAATGGAGTCAGGTATTATTTTCCGACTAAAGTAGGATCTGCCTACATAACAACGACAAGAGGCGTCGAGTCTATAGAAGGCCAGAGGAATCATTTACTCAATGTTGTATACGAGAAATTGTGTCATATGAAGGCGGTTCTTGAATGTTTTGGGCAGGCATTTCCATGCATGGGAAAACCGAGCTGGTTTTCGTGCCTGATGGAGGAGTGGAGGAGGTTTAACGGCGGATCGTTACATCAGAGATATTTTGGAGGAACATGGTTCCATACGCGGGATTTATTGGTAATGCCTTTATTTTATTGCATGATAATGCACGATGTCATACCGTACGAGTCACCAGCACCTACCTGACTGAGATCGGTATACCTACAATAAATTGCGTTAAGTCCGGACATAAATCCAATAGAGCATGTTTGGGATAAGCTTAAACGAATAATCCAGAGCAGAAATCATGCACCAAGGAGCATAATGGAATTGAGAGCTGCGCTTAATGATGAATGAAATTTATTAGAAAAGTCATCCGATCCATGAGAAATCGATTGGAAAGTGTCATTAGGAATAGGGGTTGTGATATCAGATATTGAAAAACAAAAAAATTCATTTCGTAATTGATGATTTCTCTGTTCATTACGTCTTTCTTGGGATGGTTCCAATGATAAATATTTGAGAAACTCTGTTCGTATTGCATATTGTTTTTATAATGCGTCTTCTAAATAATGAAATAGCAGTTGTGGTAAGTTCAATAATAAAGTTACTGTTTGCACATTACATCTTGTTATTTTCATACTTCTTACATTAAAACCGAAGGTGTAATCTCAAATATCGCTTTTGAGTCGATTGTTTTGCACTCAAGTGTATATAGTTTAATTATCTTTATCTATTTATACGTGTAGAAAAGTTGGGACTATCTGATTTAACGACAAATTTAACAAAACGACAACTTTACTGTCCTGTAAGAAAAATAATAAACAAGTATTATTAAAATTATTGTACTTACTGGCATTCTTTCGAATTCACCGCCAATTGGAAAGTTCATTACTGATCTTAGCGTTTGTGCACCATAGTATTTATCTGCGGGCACTTTTAATTCCCCAAAACTATCCTTTTCGATTCTATGCTCGCCCTTTGCCTGATCAACAAATGAAAAAAAAAATTTAATTTATGGCCTTAAAAGTCGTTTTAACGTTACATTTTTTTTAATTTGCTTCTTTATATAAATTAAAAATAAAAGATAAAGGACAAATACGTAGAATATGCTATTAATATTAATAAAATGCTTAACGGTCAAAAAAAAATCAATTTTTTAAACTTTTTTGTTATATTATTATATTCACTAATGTCCTAAACCTAAATATTGCTCACTTAAGTCTTTTAACTTATTAATAACATTAATATATTAAATGAAAGTCGCCTAATATTAAATATTTATTCTCTTTTAATTCAATTTTTTGCTCAAAAAATTTTAGACTAATTTTTTTGTACTTAAAATGAGCTGTAACCTTAATAAAACAATTTATGCATACTAAAATATTTATTTCATCGTTAAATAATGTAAGTATTGGGCAAAAGTAAAAAATGACACTTTTTCAAAATAAAAAAAGGTTCCTAATATTGCATACTCTATCCAAAATTAGGAACCAGCACACTCTTCATGTGACCATCTGAAGAAACTTGAACAGTATACCCACTTTTCTCCATGTTGGTCCTTTGAATAATGTTCAGTGCAGAAATTGTCGTGATAAGGAACATTTGAGGAATCGATTTACTTATTCACTTTCTTCTTTTATTTTCTTTGCCTTTTTAGTTTTAACCATCGTCTTCTTTTTTCCATAACTTTTAATTTTGGCAACTATTCTTTAGTTTTTAAGTGATTGTTTTCTGTGCTTTTCTTAAATGCTAGCTTCTAAATCATTTTTGTAGGGCGTACTTGTAATTAACGCAGCAGAACCGGTTTTATATCCCCTCATCTCCTGTTTTAAGTAGGTATTAATGAACTGCAGGATGGTAAAGGTCAAAAGTCTTGAACTGTCTTACAATAGGCGATAACTGATTAATTATCGGTTAAAGCGAATATCGGTTCTTCTTCTTTATGTGCCGTCTTCTACCGAAGGTTGGCGACCATCATACGATAGGTTTCTCTGTTTTGTGCCGCATGAATTATGTTCGCAGCTTCTGGTATTTGAAACCATTCTCTCAAGTTTCTCCGCCAGGATTTCTTCTTTCTGCCCAAACCTCTTCTACCTTCAATCTTGCCTTCCACGATAAGCTGTAGCAGACTGTACTTATCATTACGGAACACATGGCCCAGGTATGACGCTTTCCTCCTTTTAACAGTTGTTAACAATTCCACCTCTTTACCCATTCGTCTTAATACCTCTGTGTTGGTCACTCTGTCTGTCCAAGGTATTCTCAGTATGCGTCGATACAGCCACATTTCTAGAGCCGCTAACTTCTTTATAGTTGCTGAATATCGGTTAATAATATTAAATTTCCCCACTACTACCCCCCCGTGGGTGGGTGTTCAATATATATATATAAGTTAAAAGAAAATATACTGATTGATTGATATATAAACGGTTGGATTTTATGTAACGTATAGGGAGGAATACATATAGTAGAAATATAATTTTTTCAGCCAGATTCCTTGTATGGCTATATAATGGCCGTCAAAAATGAGCAACACACGATTGTCTTCTGAAGGTCTTACATTATTGATAAAATGTTGCATCTATCGAGTAAAGATATAGCTCTGTATCCACCCTGAAGGGTGACTATCAGCAATTGACCCAGCTGGAGCTTCGCCCAATAGCTCGGTCTTCATATCTTTGCGTGGGAATACAAACAACGGAGGAACGAATCCTCCGAATACGGCAGCATTCATGCATGTAACTGAAGTTACTAGTGTCCCTCTTTCTGGGTGATGGCCCTAGCAATCTTGGATTGTATCGTGGTGATACCTGTTTCATTAACATTAACACGGTTGATATTTCTGGGGTAAAATGTTTTATTTTGTGGTTTTCTTACAGGTAGATTGGGGTGCTGTCTGAGGAAATTTTGAAGCCACTTTTTACCGGCAGTACCATCTCTTTTTGAAAAAGGATAGGAAAGGTTATTTCTGATAGCACTTTTGGTATGCTAGTCTCGGAATGTTTGCAAGTACTAGACCATATTATCTTCTGTCCATTTCCAAACAGTACTGTACTAAGTTTTTTTCCATTTGTTGATTTGGGAACTTTGTAGCACTTTGACGTCTAAATATCCCATTTTTTAATTTTTACAGCGTCAATAGCATTTTTTATACGTTCTGGATTCCATTTTTATGGGGCAGTAGTTTTGTAGGCATTTTACTGAAAAATATATAATTAGTTTTGAATTACATATATAATTGGATTCCCTTGGCAAATATACTTAATTTAAATAGGTACTAAAGCTTATTCTACAACTATTCAAAAACATAACCGCCAAATTTCACTTTAATACTATTAGTACTTACCTTTTTATAAGTTTTCAGTCCATATATTGTTCATAATTAATAGGGGTCACATAATTATATGGTTTCATCTAGTAGTGTATAATAGAATCATATATATAATACACAGAACTAATTCATGTTAGAAACCTTTAGTTTTGTGCATTCAATAGGAAACTTGCACATTTTTGTTTTATTACAGAATAATTAAATTTCTGTTAAATTAAATTAATATCACAGAATATTAAATAAAAATAAGATTTTCAAAAATTTCACGCCTCAAAAACTCATAATAACCTAGCAATGTATTGCGAAGTCATAAAGTATGTTTCTGTAATGTCAGGCTTCCTGTCTTATTGTATAAAAATATAAACCATTTCGTTTATACAGCTTTTGAAGATATAGTATTGAATTGTTTGTGTGTTTACTATGGAAAATAAAAGTAAATACTACAAGTATTGTTTAGTACCATTGTGTAAAAGTACATTAAAACCCTCAATAAAATAGTTGTTAGATTACCAGTCAAAGAAACTGCGTGGTGGTTACATCAGAATTAAAATAGGCTAAAAGAAAATTTACATAAAAGAGTGCTTTTTACTTCATATTTACTGCAAAAAGCAACACAATCTTTAGCTCAGCTATTATTTGTCTCCGATCAGGAATTATTAGGTTCAAAGATTCCTCTTAATTCAAAATATTAAAAATAAATATCTGTTTATAAAAGTACTTACCTAATGAAGCAGCATAATCGTAACACTTTAGATCGAGTAGGTACTTCCTCGGTTTCTTCACTAATTTCACAACTGACAACATACTTTTTTTCTTAAAATTATGTTCAGGTGTTATTTTTGGAAGCATAGCTTTCCTAAACTCCCCCGTTAGGAAAGCTATGACTTGAGGTTAAGGGAGGCCTATGTCCAGCAGTGCACGTGATAAATGAAGACTAGATTAAGATGATGATGATGATAACTTTCTTATCGTAGGCTACGGACGGAGTGGAGGATCACACTGAGATGTGAAAAAAATAAAACCGTAATGAATGTAACACGTCGCGGGATCACACACTAAGCGCGACCACATACTACATAGAGTAGTAAAGGCAGTGCCATGAGTGGAGTAACAATAAAGGATAACATTAAGAATGGATTTACTAGGAGAAGTCTAGGCACGGCACAAATTAATGCCAAAAAGGGAGAGGTGATTATTACATGTTTACCATCGAAATTATATCATCCAAAACGAAGAATTTATAAGTTGTAAATCCCTGGAAGGAGAAACAGAGGAAGACTAAAGAAGACCACTTGTGATCGATACATTTGGTGCTTGTCATACGTGAATATTTACGCAATATATTCTCTTCCTGCATTTCTCATTAGCTAAACCAAACATTTTAACACAATTTACGATATTTAGATAACTATCTCTTTAACCGAAGCTACAAACTCAATTGGAAATGTGATCACTGCGTCAAAGTGGTCAAAGTATTACCACAATGTAAAAATAGTTCATTGTTGTCTTCGTCAAGGAGCAATATACCAGAATTATTAAGTTTTACTTAAAATGACAATATTAAAACATAATTTTATATGTAGCAAATAGCAAAATATGTAAAACGCCCCAGTAAATATTACTTAGCAATTTTTTTATAAGAACTGATAAAGATCGGAAATAGTATATGAAATATTTGTATCTAAGTTTATTATTGCGTTTCACTATGTTCAACCTTTGTTCTTTCTTTTCTGTCAACGTCCGTGTTCTAAACATATATCAGCAGCCGTCAAGTTGCAGTATCAATTTAAATTTTTGAGATTTCAATATTCAGATTTATATTAATAAATTATAGATACAAGTAAATGGTTATGGTATTTTATTAATAATATAATTCTTAAGACACTTACCTTCGCATTTGACGCATATCTAATTTTTGAACTATTAAGAATATTGTGCTTATTAATATTTATTGCATTACAAAGGCTTAACGCAGGGTTTATACCTGACATTAGTCTACGTAAAATATTCATTGTATGTGCCTGAAATAAAATATTTAAAGAAGTATATTAAGAGTTTTCCACGAAAAATGACAATAAATAATTTGACGTTAGTTCATAGATATCTATTTTTAAAAAACAATATTTTTGTCTATCATCATCATTCGTATCGTTACAGTTAATTTGAGCTGTAACGCCACTGATGTAAGGCAACATCTTAAGCTTTTACCGTCAATAATTTTTTTGTTATCCTCCAATATTTTTGTTTATAGATGAAAAACATAAGACTCCAATGACGTAATCAATCATGTTTATATTTTTGTACTATTATATTATTTATCTATGTTTATATTTAAAAATACTTTTTTAACAAGTAACATTTTTCATTAATTTATTCAAAAATCCCTCCTTTTTCTTTTATAAATGTATAGTTTGGTATTGCGAAGTTGGTAATAAAGTTATGGAGATATCTTGAGGCAGGTGTGACGGAATAGCTTCTTTAATTCACTCTTTCGCAGACAGATTTAACACCTCTTTTAAACAATGCCGTTATGCCGTAGATTAATCAGAATGACCACTCTGCTTGAAAAAATAAGTATGCGCATCTCGTTCCCACAGACGGAATCAGCCATGTTTTAAACGGAACCAGTGCTGTTCAGTGACATTTTATTCGGTGTGCATAGACAAGTTAACCCGGTTTAATTTATAATAACAACTACAGACACTATAGTTTATTTTTATGAACGAGGGAGTAATTAGCATAATTTTAACTGGTATCTCCGACCACTCCATGGGCGTGCTCAAGATTAATTGAAAAATTACTTTGAATAATTGTAAAAAATAAATGAATTATTTCAGTATTATAAAGTGTTATGTGTATGTAAACAAAAGTGACCTCTTTTATCACACACTATATTAGAACTGACTGGCCTACATTAAAAAGGATTTTAAAAATTCACATTTTTTTTAATTTTTAAAAATTACAAAAGAGAAAAAGAGTTTTTAAAACCGTCTAAGGTATGTTAAATAGATGAATAAAAATATTAATATAAAACTTACAGCTACTTGTTACAAATCCAAATCAGATTCAGAAGATGAACTTTCAGAACCAAGATTTATAATAACTGGCTCGATCATTTTATCAGTAATATTGTCCAGCTTCCACATTTTTTCCTCTTCTTTAATAGTGTGATTTACTGCCTTTTCCCAGTTTTCAGGTTTTACATTATTTACGGCCTCCAAAAACAACTGTTTAACATCATGAATTTTAAAAGTGGTATTTTTTCTTGAAACTTTACTCTTTATCTGTGCCCATACCAGTTCAATCGGGTTTAATTCACAATGATATGGTGGGGATCTAAGTACTGTCATTCCACGATTTTTGTCAATTTCATCAATTTCGTATTTTTTAAATTTTTCTTTATGAAGGGCACACAACGAAAAAAGTTTCTTTCTTATAGATCCGGGATGGTACGTAATATTTTTTGAACTCAGCCAATTCTGCAAGTTTTTTTTTAACCACTTGGTTGTGGGCAGTCCTTCTATAAGTCTGGAGTGATAACTTTATCCATTACTATTATCCATTACTATTACACAGTTCTTAGGAAGAAGATCTATCATTTGTTCGAACCATTCTTGAAAGACATCAGCGTTCATGTCTTCATAGTAGTCACCGGTACGAGTTGATTCAAAAGTTAATAAACCACCTTCAACAAAACCGTCTGAACTGCCAATGTGTACTATTATCAGCCTGCGTCCCTTTCCTGATGGTGGGTTTAAACCAGTAGATAAGTTATTTACAAAAGCGTGCCTTTGACTTGTAACAGTTTAATCCTGCCAAAATTTATTTGGTATATGACCCTCGTTGATCCATGTTTCATCAAGATAAAATATTTTTCTTTTTTGGTTTCTCATTTCCTTTATGGTTCTTAGAAAATGTCTTCTCCATATGACAATATCGCTTCTTTCTAATAAAATAGACTTTCTGCGATTCTTTTTCCAGCGGAAGCCTATTTCTTTTAAAAGTTTCCATAACGTACTTCGACTCATTTCTGGGTAATCCTTATCATCTCGAACTGAGACAAGAACTTTATCCAATGTTGGAAATTCTTGTCTAAAGAAGAATTCATGCACTTTCCGTCGAAGTCCTTCTTTAAAATGATATTCTATTTGAAATTTTGGTTTCCCTGGAGCATTACGTCGCATTTGAAAACTACCACATTCCTCTTTTTTAATAACTCTGTAAATCGTAGATTTCCCAACACCAAGTGTACTGCTAACTAACTCAACGGTCTCATCAACACTTTCACATAAACGTTTGTCTGTAAATGATTTAAAACAATTAAATATTAATGTTTTTTCATTAACTGTTAAAGGACTAATTTTTCGGCGTTTACACGGCACTTCCAAATTTTCCATAACACTAGTATACACAATAAACTGCACCTTGCAACTGAAGTACCTACTTTTAGTGAACTGTTAAGAATTTTGAATACGCCACTTGGACCTTCCTACAAAATGGAAAAACCCACTATCACATTTTCTGTGGAATAAGTTTAGAAGGTAATTATCTAGTCAATTACTGTCGTAGATTCCTGGAATTAAAGAATTAAATGTTTGATTGTTGAAACCCTTACTTCGTGGAATGCACTCATTTCAGATAAAATAAAACGTTTTATTTTATCTAAAGAATTAAACTTTATTTTGCAAATAGGTAGGTACTTAATAAACTTTTATTGGTTATATATAACCAATAAAATAAACATCTTACATTTCTTGCAAATTCATTAGTACCTGTTAACCTCCATCACTCCGACACTGGCAACCTTATTTAGGGATTAGTAACCCTCACAACTATTGTATTCTATTCTGCTCCAACCTTTATACCTGGTGGTCATACTCAATTTAAAATTGTTTTCCTATATACTTCTGTAAACTTGTTGACAAATATCTGTTTTTCATTGAGTCACCCGTATCAACAGTTTAGGGATTTGCATACATAATTTATTGCTTTATTACTCTCTCATACATAAAAATACACTATAATATGCACTATTTTATTCGTACTTTTAGTTGAAGAATAGATTAAATTATTTTAAATGTACTAAATTATTAATCTCTAAAAATTTAAATTACAGTTCTGTCGTAGTTTGTCACAAATTTCTCAATTCGAATCTATGTTTCCGTCTAAAACATGGCGTTCGCGTGCGAACAAACTTCAAAGGCAGCATCGGAGAGTGGGCATTCTGATTGTTATTTATTCTGTGACAATACTTGTACTTCAGTCGTAAGGGATGAAAATGCCTCTGAACCTCTAGTCTAAATTATACAAGCTGAATTTTTTTAGAATACCAATTTTGGGATCCCAAAAAAAATGCAAAAAAGTTCAATTTATTAAGAATCCGTACGTCCTAGAAACAATGTTTCAATCAAAAATTGTAGCTGAGACAATTTTAAACAAACATGTTTATTGGCTTTTTTCCGTAAAATAAATTGTTCTCTCAGAAACGTCGATTGAAGCGACCGGCGTTTTTGAATATGTTGCGTGCGGGAAATCAATTTTTTAAATTAAATTTGTAGCAACTCGGTGCTAAAAATTCGATATCTTTTGATTAGAGCGTCCTATCGACAAAAATGAAAATGCTCTTTAACGATTAAGAGTGCAGGTTTTGGATGCAATTTATGAATTTTGGTGAAAACTAAAAATATCTATATGCATCTTGAGTCGAACACTGTAAGTTGACTATATTTGGCGCAACTCCGTAATAAAAATGGATTTTGCGGAGTCTTGTTACTTATATTTTGATCTTTTTGTTTAATAATCATGAATAATCATAAATCAGTCAAATATTTTCCAATACTAATAAAAATCAATGTTATAAACTTTTATTTAGCTATTCATTATGACATCTTTAATTTGTTCCATACCTATGTAGTAACACTGGATTAAACGAAAAGGCATAAGTACATGGCGGCATAGTCACGGATAACGCGAGTAAGGATCACCTATGAAATGAGAAAAATGTACACACAAGATGTGGTATATTCTCTATTTGAAAAATACACAAAATATACCGTTGGTGCCAAATGTTTGATACAATGGACACAACAAATATTTAGTACTTTGGCTGCTTAAAAACCTAAATGCTAATCCAGTGGTAAACTTTCAGCAAATTTTGTATATTCAATGTAAAATTTACTATTGCCATTCATTTAAGCCATCGCTCAATATAACTTCGTATTTTTCAGTTTTCCATTAATTTTAACGCCATATTTCAAGTTGTGCAAAACACGTTTAAAGATTCTTTTGGAATATACATTAAACAATAGTTGGAACAGCACACAACCCTACCAGACTCCCTTTAGAATCTTACATTCTTCTGTCGACTTTCCGTTAATACGAATGGTTGCTGTTTGAAGCCAATATAATTTTTCTATGATCTTGATATCGCAGCTATCATCTCTTTTGTTTCTTGATAATTTAATTAACTTGTCATGATGTAATGTATCAAATGCCTTTTCATAATCAGTAAAAACGACAAAAACATCTTTACGGTTGTCTCGACACTTCTGCAGCAAAACATTCAGTGCACCTCTAGTTCCAAATGAATCTCCAAATTAAAACTGCGTTTTATCTCGATCTTCTTCACACTCATTCATTACTCTGCTGTGCATGATACCACCATGATACGTAGGAATAACTTTTAAATGTGACTCATAAGACTTTTAAGTCTTACAGTCGCTACAGTGTTTAGGACGTTGTTTTTAGTATGAATTATGAATTCAGACCTACCAGTCCTCTGTGATTTGACCAGTAGAGTACACATGATTAAAAAACTTCACCAATATTTTCATGTTTTTTCGTTAAGGGGAAGTCAAGTAGTATGTAACGCAATTTTTGAAGATTTTTGACCCCTCCTTCACCCATGTAACATACCGTAATGTTTTACACAACGCCCTCCCACACCTAAACGTTACGTAACACTCAAGTGGCAATTTTTCCCCAAAAGTTACTCGGAAACTCGGTAAAATAA